TGTATGTATGTATGTATGTATGTATGTATGTATGTATGTATGTATGTATGTATGTATGTATGTATGTATGTATGTATGTATGTATGTATGTATAAGCTTCAATTGTCTTGGTTCAAATCAAGTTTTTCTTGAGCCAAGGCTTTAGTAGCTTGAGAAAATCTTGATCCATGTCCACCCTTACTCCCTGGTTTCCTCATCCGTGCTCCAGGAACTTGCTTTAAGCCTCCAACGCTAAACTTGAAAAGAGAATAAATGGTTTGAATGACCCTTTTAGTTGTCATAATGGAAAAAATGTGGGTATAAGAATCACTTCATTTCTCATCATTTCAGTTTTAGATTCCTGAGGCATGAGTAGGGGTGGCAATGAGCCGAGCTTTTCATGAGTTGCTCGAGCTTGACTCAGTTTCAATCGAGCTTCGAGCCGAGCTCAAGCCCAATTCACAGGCTCGATTAATAAACGAGCTGAGCTCAAACATATATATATATATATATACATATAAAATAAAATTATAGAAAATAGTATATATAATAAAACATTATAATTCTTAACTTTTTAAATATCAAATAAAAAATACTTGTTATACATAATTTTTTATTTTTATAAAATATTTTCCTCAAATTGAGCTCGAGCCTTATACAACCTTGGCGATCTAAGCTTGAGCCTCATACTATTCAGCTCGGCTCAGCTCGAATCCACCCCTAGGCATGAGTTTCATTATTTGATCCCTTACTCATTACCAAAAAAGAAAAACAAACCCTCTACTATTATACTTGAGTGTGGGAAATTATGAAAAATTTTAAATTCTTTCACTATTATAAAAAATAATTCAAATTTCAGTTAGGGCAATTGCCCACTAACATATACATAAATCTGCCTATGGGAATGAGTGAAAAATGTTTGTAATTTGGTAAGAAATGCTTTAAAAATATAACCATCTAAATCAAAAACACTAAACCCTAAGGCTCAATTTAAAAAGAGTACAAATACAAATATATATAGAGCAAATACATACAAAATAATATAAAATTTAAGATTTTGTATTCTGAAAATTTGTATTTATACAATACAAATATATACAAAATACAAGATTTTACACTCTACAAATTTGTATTTATACTCCTTGCAAATGGAGCCTAAAACACAGCCTGGAATTGATTCATGCTTTTGGAATGTAAAACAGAAATCATGAAGTAGCCTTAATTTCTATGAGACTAGTTAGTTTGCACAGTTACACCAAGTCCGGACAACAACAAATATATCGCTAACTAGGCCCAAAAGTTTATTGTAAAGTATAATTACAGCTGGTCTAACTACAGCCCAAGGGAAAGGCTATGGTTGTGCAAGGTTTAAAAAGACCATGGGCATGGCCCATATTCAAAACCATTTATAATAAGTGGTGTAAAAGCACGTGCATGCATGTGTGCAATTAAATGTTAAAGGGCATATATATAATTACTTATGATATATATCTTAACAACTACTTATGATAGGTTCATTCATCTTGTACATTCACTGTATGTCAGATTATTATTATTATTATTATTATTATTATTATTATTATTATAAAGAGACATCAGACATTTATAGGAATGGCAATGGGTTGTCTCTCCCCATCCTTGTCCCCGTCCTTGCTAATGGGGATAAGGTTATCTTCATCCCCGTCCCAGGAGGATCCCCATTCCTCGTGATTTTTTATAATATTAATCATTTTGTTTTTAATTTTTATTTTATTTAAAAGAATAAAAATAAAATAATTAAAATTTATAATCTTATTAGAAAAGATTCAAATATATTCAATCATATATATTTTTAAAATATTAATATATAGATGTATGTATACATATATACATATATAATGTATGCATATATATACATATATTAGTGGGGATCCCATGGGGCGGGGAGTGCTATTCCCGTCCTCGCTAATGGGGATGAAAATTTGCCCATCCCCATCTCCGCAGGGGGAAAATCATCTCCATCCCCACCCTATTTGAAGCAGATCCCCACAGGGATCGGAGAAATGGGAAAAATTGCCATCCCTAGCCATTTATGTTACTTTATCGACAAGATTGCTTACAAGCACTAAAAGTCTAAAACATTTCCATCTTTGTGTCAAGCTTGATGCTTGAGTAATATTTATATATATCACAATGAAAAAATGAGTTCTTTAGCATAATGTGAACCAGCTGGTTGGTATATAAGGTCTCCTGCTTGTCATAGTGGAGATTTGAGATCGAGTCCTATCTAAACCTGGGTTGGAGGATGGGCTACCCCTTGTTGTTTAGCCCTTCAAAAAAGAAATATAAAAAAAAAGAAAAAAACTGAGCTCCTGTTTTTAGCCCAAATTGAGCCTGAGTCTAAACTAAAGCCTTGTGTTTTTAGCCAAGTCGAGTTCAAGCAGTTAGATTTTTATACTGAGCAAATGTAGCAAAAATGAGGTAAATTTTATACTGAGCTCATTTTTATTTTATTTTTAACTAAATTTGCTTCAAGGGGCCCCATTCCTTGGGTTGATTTCAAGGTCCTACTTGTGATAATTGCCGCTTAACTGTACATCTCCATACATACAAATGTGGGAGATGTTTTCAAATGTGCGGCTGTAGTGATGTGTGGGCGGGAGATCTGAACACCCTAACATAACATATTCACTTTTGTGTACGTGTGTTTTTAATGACTTTTTTGCTTTAGATTTCATCTTGTTTTATTTGTTTTTAATAAGTAAAATAAACTAGGAATGAAGATAGGAAGGCTACGTTTTTTACTTGGGAGGGTGAAAGGAAGCAAGATGATGTAATCCTTTTTTTTTCTGAAAAAAAAATCCTTTTTTATGTAACAAGAATTAACGAAGGAAGATGGTGCAAATTTTGTATAAAAAAGGAGTGAAAATCATAAATACAAAAAATAGATACAATTCTATCAAAAAGAACAGATATAAAATTGAATAGGACGCAAAATTGTATCTAGTTGTATACTTATAAAAAGTAGAGCTAAAAGAAAGTGCAAAAAGTAGAGCAGATTTGGACGGATATTTATGCATGCACGTGTAAATTTGTAATGACACGGAGTGAACGGAAGTGTGTAGTCCCGACTCCCGAGTGCGGTCTGCATTACAAAACGTTTCCAACGGATTGTTCAAACTCGCCACCCAAACCAAAGCTTGGTATCAAGCTGGGACGGGACGAGATCAACGGATTGTTCAAAGTTCAAACTCGCCACCGAAACCAAAGTTTCCAACCGATTGTTCAATCAACAAATAATACGTAAACTCTTGTGCTCACTCTCTCCCTTTCGCTCCAAAATTGAAAGGCACCACCTTTCTTCTGTGATGGCGGAATTCCTTGACCTGGAAGCCCACGACGGCATACGCATGCCATGGAACGTCTTCCCAGGCACCAAGCAAGAAGCAGCCAGTTGCGTTGTCCCTGTCTCTGCCATCTACACGCCATTGAAGCCCTTCCCCAACATGCCAGTCCTTCCTTACTCTCCTCTCCGTTGCCGCACCTGTAGATCCGTTCTGAACCCTTTCTCCACCGTCGACTACATGGGCCAGATCTGGATATGTCCCTTTTGCTTCCAACGCAACCATTTCCCCCCTCACTACGCTTCGATCTCCCAAGACAATCTCCCCCCTGATCTCTTCCCTCAATACACCACAATAGAGTACGAGGCGCCCACAGATAAGACTGCAGTCCCACCTGTTTTCCTGTTCGTCGTTGATACGTGCATCATTGAGGAGGAGCTAGGGTTCTTAAAGTCTGCTCTCTTGCAGGCTATTGATCTGGTGCCGGACGATTCACTTGTTGGGTTCATCACCTTCGGCACTTACGTTCATGTGCACGAGCTGGGGTTCGGGCTTATCCCCAAGACATACGTTTTTAAGGGGTCAAAAGAGATATCGCAGGATCAGATTCTTGAGCACATGAAGTTCTTTGCAAAGAAGCCAAAGCCAATCACTGGTGTAACTTCTGCTTCTGGTCCCAGGGACGGGCTCACTGCCGAGAGCATAGCTCGGTTCCTATTGCCTGCGTCCGAGTGCGAATTTGCTTTGACTTCGGTAATCTTAACTTAGTCCTTTTAAGCAAGAATATCTCTCAACTTTTTGGGATTCTTTTTTATAAAAGCGCTCAATCGATTATGGCAGTTTAAGGTTGGATGTCTATGATTTATGGTTGGTGAATTTTTGTTTTTCCCAACTGACTCAAAGTCGTTAATTGTTCTATTTATTATTATTATTTTTTTTTCAGTTGGAATTGAGAAAAAGAATCTTGTTAATCACAGAGACATAGACACTAGTACATTATTGTCAATGTATGCAATCTTTGGTCTTTAGTTAATTGAAACCTTGACAGCCGTTATTTGTGACTTTTCGTTTTTTCCTTGGTTTGGATGGATTAATTCGTGGTTCAGGTTCTGGAAGAGCTTCAGAAAGATCCTTGGCCTGTACAAGCAGATCAACGGGCAATAAGGTGCACGAGCACGGCACTTAGTGTGGCTACCAGTTTGTTAGGAGCTTGTGTTCCTGGTTCTGGAGCTAGAATCATGGCATTTATTGGAGGGCCATCAACAGAAGGACCTGGTGCTGTAAGTTATGCTGGACTTTGTCATAATTGTTGCAGTTCGTTTTCACTTAGATTTTAGTTTTGCAATCACAGAAGTCTCTGTCTCCTCTCTCTCTCTCTCTCTCAATGTATGCAATCAAGAAGCCAAACCTGTTATAAAATTGGGTTTTCTTTATCACTTCATGTTAGCTCCGCAGTGCATTATGAAATTAAAGCTTGGTTATTATAAGGGCTTTAGATCATTAATCGACTAGTAAAAGATCAATTCCTTAGCAATCCATGTTTCTAATTTCTGGCTCTTAGAAAATGATTATTCACTCTGGGATTTTGTAAAGCTTTAACTCCTTTTGAGTTTTTGCCTTTTAATTTATTTGTTTATATATTATTTTTATATGTTACTTATCAATGGAAAAAGAACCATTGAACTAAGATCCACCATATTTGGGAACGGGACTCTTGGTAACTCAAGCTAAAAATTTTTCTTTAACTCTCTGTCCCTATTCTTCTGCAGAGGGTATAAGGAAGAAGAGAAAAGAATATAGTCAAAGGAACTCTTCTGCTTTCTTCAAATGGATACTTTGTTATAGACAAGAAATCCTCTAGGAAATTCTTCAGTGAATCTTTAGATCTAAGTAACTCTACGGAAAAAAAGAGAAAAGAAAAATCTGGATGCTATATCAAATAAAAAGCACACAAACCTCTATAATGGAGTAAGGAGGAAAAGAAGAAAGAAAGAAAGGGGGTGGAGGAGGAGGGGATAAGGAGCAGAACCCTTGTTTTACTTGACCCTGTTTTAGAGAAGCAAAAGAACAGAGAGGAGGATAGGAAGAGCCCTTGTTTCACTGGATCATACAAAAGTGCTTCAAGCATTCAACATTTTTAATCTGAAAGTTGCAATGTGTCTATCTCTTAGTTGCATCACTTCAAGTAGCTAGGGCTTCAGGTATTTGAGATGTCTTTTGTTTTTGTTTCTTTTAAAAGTCGATAGACCATTACTAGCATGCAAGCAACAACAAAAGATTGTTTAGAATGTGGTAGGCCATTAAAAACGTATCAAACTGACAAGAATGTACAAAAAAAGAAACTAAATAAGCAAACTTATAAAAGGTGCAGACCTGGGTCACCTCAGCCCAAGCGTTTGCCTTTTGAGAATGGCCTTGCTTGGGTTCAAGCAAGGAATATGTCTCAAAATGTTCTCCATATATGTACCTGAGTGTGCCTTTTAAAACACCAGCTGGTACTTTTACTATGATTGACCCTAGAAGTCTGGAATGGAAACCAGCACTATATCCAAATTCTGCTTGAGATAAGTGCAACAGACTATTTCAACCTTTGGAGTCTTTATTTCTCTTTGTCTCTCTCTATAATTTATATTGTATTGCTCATAACTTGTAAAGAAAAATTTTATGACCTGAAGCATCCATCAGTAGAAAATTCTGAGAGCCTGACACCCCTTGTATGCCTTCAGCTTCTTTGTTCTCTCTCTTTGTCGAATCTTTAATAAATTCTTCATAATTTTATAAAGAAAATAACATATGATTTGAAACATCATTAGTAGAAAATTTTCAAATGCCTGACACTCTATTAACAAGTACACTTTTGTACTTCATGAGCCCCTGGAAAGTGCGCCGTTGAACTTCACGAGCTCCTGTAGGCCTTTTTGATAGTGAAATTCACTTCTAGTGGTGGCACTTTTAGGAATGTGGTAGCATTCCTATATTTAGGGACCATGGTAGAAAGGAACAGGAATATGTTTTATGTATCCTTAAAATTTTCAAGGATTTTTAAACATGCCGCTAAACTAATAGATTGGTGTTGGTGTTGAAGAACTTTTATGGATCAACAACGCTGATTTTGGATGATAGCACCTTTGTGTATCTTGTATATTTAGGTTCTATTTGTAACGAGAAAGCAGTTAAACCTGAGTTTCTTTCCTCACTTCAGAGGTTGACATGGGCTACAAAGGATTGTAGGTTGTAAGTGATGTTAGAGAATAAAACCTATTCAAGGACCTCACTTAACAGCTTAAGCTTTTAGGTTGAATGGTTCTCTGAGATGGTACCAGAGCCATTTTGACCAAGTGGTCTAGTGTTCGATTCTCATCACCCCCATTATAATTAACTAAGTTTCAGCGCAAGGTATGGTTGGGCCTGTGCTGTCCACGCTTCAAGCCCAATGGGCTTTCGTGTGAGGGGGCATGTTAGAGAATAAAACCTATTCAAGGACCTCACTTAACAGCTTAAGCTTATAGGTTGAATGGTTCTCTAAGAGGTGACTCTCAAGTAGTCATTGGGTGGACATGAAAGGGGGGTGAGTGGTGTTGGGGAATTACCAATGTCTATGGCCCAAATGAGGAAGGAAGGAGGGAGGATTTCTGGAAAGAGCTGGAGGAGGTCAGACGGATTTGGGGGGGGGGATTTCAACGTGGTTAGAAGGAGAAGTGAGATGAAAGGGGGTAGGGAGGGGAGAGTCAGTGTGGGGATGAGGAGATTTGGAAATTTCATTTCCAATGTTGGGTTGATTGATCCTCCATTGATGGGAGGGACGTTTACTTGGTCAAATGGGCAGCATCTGTCAATTCTCAGAAGGCTAGATAGATTCTTGTTTACAGGGGATTGGGTTGATGAAATCGGGGAAGTTATCTAGGGGGCCTTACCTTACTTCCTTTTGATGATAAACCAATTCTGTTAAGGAAAGTGTCTGGGTGTTGGGTGCTAAGCCGTTTTGCTTCAAGAATATGTGGTTTGATCATCTGGACTTCCGGGAATGGGGGGAGGAGAAATGGGGTGGGTGGCAGGTGGAAGGGAGGAAGTGAGCTGGAGGCAGAAGTGTAGGGCAGTTTGGTTGAAGACTGGCAACAAGAACACTGCTTTCTTTATGCATATGCAAATGTCATAGATGTAACACCATTTCTAGAATCAAGTGGGTGATGAAGTAGTGGATGACTGGCCTGGTATTCAAGAAAAAATGGTGGAATACTATAAAGGTCTATACTCTGCTAGACAATGGAGTTGGGTGGCATTAGGGGGGATAGAGCCTAGGAAACTGAGTGAATTTGCTTCTCTTTGGCTCGAGAGTAGCTTTGAGATGGCAGATGTAAAGGAGGCATTGAAAGGAATCTCTAGAGATAAAGCTCTGGGGCCAGATGAGTTTAGGTTTGGAAGGCTGGGGCTGATGTGCAAGATTGATATTGAAAAGGCATATGGTCATGTGGAGTGGGGTTTTTTGGAGGAGGTTCAAAGGTTGATGGGTTTTGGAGCAAAATGGAGAAGCTACATATATGCATGCTATTAACACTCTTGGTCGAATAGAGAAAAGAACAAGAATAATCTTAGAGGTGTCAAGAATGAATGACCCCCACCTCAAAGAGTCTCTTATATATTAAAAGATATGTACAATTACAAGAATGCCCATACAGGACTGAAAGAGAAAAGAAGAATAAGATGTAAAAGTAATATACAATAGGGACTATACTAATAAGGTACATCAAGTATTAGAGTCTCCACACCCCCCCTCAAACTGATGCCTCGACATAAGCATCAGTTTGTCTATAAGAAAGAGATGTCGAACTCTAGTCATAGCTTTGGTGAAGATATCAGCAATCTGCATGTCCAAGGCTACATGAGGAAGCGACATAGACCCAATCGTGAAGAGATCTCGGATAAAGTGGCAGTCCACCTCGATGTGCTTGGTCCTCTCATGGAAGACAGGGTTAGATGCAATCTTGATTGCACTCGTATTGTAGGAATATGAGTAGGAACCTGAATGCCAAGATCCATAAAGAGAGACTGTAACCAAACAATCTCACTACAAACCGAAGACTTGGCCCTATACTCTACTTCATTGGAAGACTTGGAAACTGTTTGTTGTTTCTTACACTTCCAAGAGATGAGTGAATCACCCATAAAAACACACCACCCAGATGTGGACCTACGAGTGTCTGGACAACTAGCCCAATCCGCATCAGCATATGTTCTCAACTGAATAGGAGAGGAGGAGGAGGAGAAGAACAGTCCCTGGGAAGTTGTGCTTCTAACATATCGAATGATGCGATGAACAACAGTCATATGAGGCTAACGAGGAGCAGAAACAAATTGACTAACAACCTAGACAACATGAGAAATATCAGGTCGAGTCATAGTGAGATAAATGAGGGACTCCACAAGCTGGCGATATAAGGCAGCATCAGGAAGTAATGGACCTTCAGATTTAGAAAGCTTAAGATTTAGCTCCATAGGTGTATCAACATGCTTTTCATCATTAAGACTAGCAAGTTTAACAAGGTCAGAGGCATACTTCTGTTGACAAACAAAATACCCTTGATCACTGCGATGTACTTCCAGTCCTAGGAAATATGTGAGAGGCCCCAAGTCCTTCATGTGAAAGGAATTATGAAGTAACAATTTCAATTCATGAATGCCTTCAGCATCATTCCCAGTCAACAATATGTCATCAACATATAGTAGGAGAATGGTAATACCCTGAGGTCATCGCCTAACAAATAAAGAGTGATCAGAAGAACTCTGGCTATATCCAACAACACCAACAACATTGTGAAAGCATTCAAACGATGCCCAAGGAGCTTGTTTTAGACCATATAGAGATTTTTTGAGGTGACATACTAAAGAAGGATCACTGTAGTATCCGGGAGGAGGCTTCATGTAGACCATCTCCTTCAACTGACCATGAAGAAAGGCATTCTTCACATCAAGCTGGCATATGGTCCAAGACTGAGCAACAAACATTGCTAAAAGAACACAGATTGTGGTGATCTTTTCAACAGGAGCAAAGGTTTCTTCATCGTCAATACCATACTCCTGACTATATCCTTGGGCAACTAAACGTGCCTTGTATCGATCAAGAGATCCATCAGACTTTAGGTTAATGTTGTAAACCCAACGACTCCCAACAATGGATGCATCTGGAGGAGCAGGCACAAGATCCCAAGTGTCATTCTCATGTAAACCATGAATCTCTACATCCATGGCTTCCTTCCAATAAGGGCTACTATTAGCTTCCTGG